AGGGTGCAACAATGAATGAATGGAATCCCAAAATCTCTGTAGATGTTCATTGAAATGAAAAATAAACAACCTAAATTTAAAAAAAATTAATAAAATTTAATAGAAAAAATTACAGATGCTTTCCTCACAAAGGTCCTTCCATCAAGATTCAGAATTCATGGTTAGCAATAATATAGACTACTCAAACTACAGCCATGAGTGTTACTCTAAGTAATTGAACTTTATTCTCAGTCACAAGTAAAAAATGGTTCTGATATTTGAAAACATGTCTTAATCTGGTAGGCATCTATAACTTCCAATATAAGTATGATATGTCTCAAGGGTGTTTTTCTTGTATTTTCCCTGGATCCTGGGAACTACAGTTAGGGCATTAAACTCAGTTTTGTCAGATTATTTTTTTTTTCAGGAGAACCTAAGAAGAGTAAATTTAACCAATATGTTGGATGCACAGCAATGCTTATCCTGTTCAACAAATGTTCTTTTGTGTATTAGGCAATGTTAGAACCAACAGGGGGGAAGAAAGTTTCTTTCTCTGCAATGAGGTTATAAAACAATGAGAATGTTTTTGTCTATATTCAGCGTTTTTTGGATCTGGAAGAACTTCAGAGCTGTTTGGTTAAACAAACATTCCTGAACAAATATTCTAATGAGGTGTACTTTCAGCGAAAAGAACACATTTCTCACTCTGAAGAAGGCATACCACCTGAGTGGAAGGCAGAGCCAAGGTCATGCAAAGCCCAATACTACATACCCTCCAAAAGAACTCAAAGAGGCTCACAGATTCAAGGCAATATATCATTGCTACATTTAAACAAAATCAACAAGGATATGTTATAAATTTAGGAAAAACTCAACATTCACTTTCACAGATCCAAGATTACAGGTTCTTTCAAAGAGCTCTGGTGATGCAATGGTTAAATACTAGGCTGTTAAACAAAAGATTCCAGTTTTAATCCACCAGCAGTTTCTTTGGAGAAAAGGTCTGATGATCTGCTTCCATAAAGATTACAGTCAAAGAAACCTGTGGGACAGGCAGTTTCCCAGTGTATCAGGCCTCCAGGTATGATAAAAACCAAAACATTAAGATAGAGTTTCAGTTGTATATTATAACACTGACTTAAGGACATGAAACACAAACACAGTAAATGTACCAGGAAAAGATTATGCTGAGCTTCATCATTTTGAAGAAGAAAAATATATTTGGAAGAAACTGTATATAGAAAGGACATGAAACTTCTCTATGTTTATTATAAACGTTACATCTATAAATCCCAGCGAATACTATAACAATGTAAGAAGACATTTCAGAATTAAACTTTTTTAAAAATTTATATTAGTTTATTTACAAAAATCAAATACATTGTTTTTCACACCAGATCCTTCCAATTTCCTTCATCTCCCACCCATTAAATTGTATGAACTCATGATTCACACACACACACACACACACACACACACAACCTCATGTATCTGCTTCTACCCTCCCCCCCTCACCACTTGAATTCTCATACTCAGAATTTGTCCTTGTGGGACTGAGTTAGTTCACTCAACATAAAGCTCTTCAGTCCCTCTCAAGTTAGGTAATAATTTTATACTGATTTACATACAAAGTTCAGAATTAAACATTTTAAAATATTAATTTACTGTTTCAGACTAAAGTTTTTAGAAACCCATGAGGAAAAAATGCAAGGGGCAACATAATATTTTAAAATTACATGTCTCTCCTATTCTATCAACAAACATAGCTTGCCACCACTATAAAATATTTATACCAGGTACTCTACGAAAAGGATTTAAAATGGCTTTACTAAATAGTAGATTATGATAATAAATGCTAATTTCCTTTCAACTCTTTTTGATAAAGTAAAAATCCCTTCATTACTAGGGTCACAGAAACAGAAATGATTTCTTGAAATATTTTAAAAACTTACTTTTCTTGATCTTCATAAACACAGTTAGCAATTAGTTTTTCAAAATTCTCAAAAGCATTTTTCTTGAGCTGTTGATGGGCCATTGTAATTAAGACATTCACATGTGGCTCTTTCTCCTCCAGTACACGATAATGGCGTGCAATGGTTATAACCTCATGGTCTGTGAGTTTCCCGAGAGTTACACTCATTATAATTTCTCTGTCAAAAAAAGGGGGAAGGCAGGGAGAAATGCTTATGAAGTAGTATGTATAATTTATCTCTTATAAAAAAATACCCAAATCCTATTTTTAAAAAAATTTAACTGGCTGGAAGCCGCCGCAGGCCAGAAGCCGCCACCAGCCGGGCCGAGAAGAGCAACAGTCAGCCAGCCACTGAGGAACTCCACAGGAGCAAACACCTTGTGACCCCAGGGAGCAATGATTACCCACCCTGCAGCCCATGCCTGCGTGACCCCCAACACAGAGGGTGCTGCTGCATAACCCCCCAGGAGCACCCAAGCCCTGCCTCCTACCTCTTGGTGGTAGTGTCCAAGCCCTGTGCTCCTTTGCCCCCCTAGTCCCTTGCTCTTCCCCCCTTCCTCAGCCCCCCCTTGCAGCTCCACAACCACGCACCTCAGCCCCTGCCACAGCCCTGTGACATCAAGGCACCACCATGGATCCGGCCATCACCCAGAGCTATCAGCCAAGCTGCTGTGGAACTAATCTGGCAGGAGAAAAGCCGGTAGGATCCCGACTGGGTTTACTGGGGCATTGCTGATTACCTGGGAAAGCACCTAATGGCATGCCCACTGGTGGGGAATTTGGCCAAGCTCTCTTGGGCTACACCAACTGGCCAGAAATGAGTCAGCCACTGGCTGGCTTCTGCGGACTCTGCAGACCAGCCAGAGGCTAGTGGGTTGGTGGGAATTTGACCTTGACTTTTCGGGTTCTGTTGGATCCAGGTCTAGCCTGGAGCAGGACCTGTTGTGTGAGGGCACCTGTGTAAGTGTCACCAGGCAAGGAATACTGGAAAAAAACATTGGGTAGGAAACGGACAGCAGGAATTTGAGTAGGGACCCCCAATCGTGAGCACACTGAGACAGCAGAGGTTTGAAGAAGGTCCCCTAAGTGTTTGACCTGCCCTTGCAATCACCCCAAACCTTTGCCTGCCTCACCCCATTTGGCTCCACACCAGTGCCTACACGTCTGGGCAATCAACTTACCTTTAATCGGGAGCACTTTGACCTATCTTACCAACAAGAGATTGCCCTCATAGGCTCTGAACTGACATTTCTCTGAAGTGAGAAATTCAGAGAAATGCAGAAGTTCGGTAGCTGCCGAACTGATTTCAAGAGCTTTGTCTTCAGATCAAGAACATATCAATGTCTCGAAGAAAGCAAACTATCCCACACAACACACAAAAGCAAAGCAAGATGTCCCTCACAAAGGGTGACACAGTATCAGTGGATTCCATGAAGCCAGAAAGTCTCATGGAACTTCATAACACAGAATTTAAAAGAGGAGTGACTGAATATATCCAATGGATGAAAGATAAACTTGATCAATTAAAGGATACTACAAGCAAAGACCAGCAGGAGCTAAAAAAACAAAAACAAAACAAAACGATGCAGAACACTGCAGAGAAAACAAACGAGGCATTAGCAGCACTGGAAAAACAAAAATCCACCATTCAAAATATAAAGTTCAATGTTTCAGAGGCTGTAAACATAATGGAGGGACATATGAGAAGTGTTGATGAGATGGAACACAGAATAAGTGATATTGAAGACAAAATTGTCACCACTGATCTACTAGAGCAAAAAGCAAACTCAAAAAAGAAGGAAAAAGAAAAAACCTAAGAATAATGTGGAAAAAAAAGAATAATGTGGGACACCATCAAGAAAAATAAGATGTGTATCATTGGAATCCCAGAAAAGGAAGAAGTAAGTAAAGGCACTGAAAAAGTTGTGAAAGAATTACTAGAGGAAAATTTTCCAGGCATAATGAAGAATGAGAGAATATGTATTCAGGAAGCTCAGCGAACACCATATACATTAGACCCCAAAAGAAAAACATCAAGGCGTATCATAGTTAAATTTGCCAGAACCAAAGATAAGGAGAGAATCCTGAGAGCAGCAAGGGAGAAACAAAGAGTAATCTATAAGGGAGAACAGATAAGATGAAGTGCC